GGGCCTTTGGAGGATGAGTCCCTTAGGAACAGAAAGAGTACTCTTAAAAATAGGTTTAAGGGCCAAGTGCAGTGGTGCACACCTATAATCCCAGCAGCTCAAGAGGCTGAGGCAGGAGGATCACGAGTCCAAAGCCAGCCTTAGCAACTTAGTGAGGCACTAAGCAACTCAGTGAGACCCTGTCTCTAAATAAAATAGAAAAAAAGGCTGGGGATGGGGCTCCATGGTTGAGGCCCTTGGGTTCAATCCCTAATACCTAATTAATTACTTAATTTAATAAGCTTGAGGACTTCCTTTTGCCTTTCTATCATGTGAGGACACACAGAAGGTAGCATCTGTAAGGAAATGAGCCCTTGCCAGACATCAGACCTGCTGGCACCTTAATCTTGAATCCCCCAATCTCCACAACTGTGAATTGTGAAGACACATTTCTATCATTTGTATATTCCACAATTTATGGTATTTTTGTTATAGCAGCTGAAACAGCTTAAGACAACTTTCCTCTTTCTACTATTTCTCTCTATATAAGGATCTAAGGAGAGGTGTAGCCAGGACTTTGTTGCATGCTATAGAATAAAATAGAATCTTGAAATAATGGCTGTGTTGTTGAACAGACTAAAGGACTCTTAGGAAGAAGTGAGTTGTGCAAAAGTTCATCTCCGGAATCCCTTCTACGATCTGGGTGAATCTTGAAAAAGAGCCATCCTGTCAGGTCACACACAGGAAGGGCTCAGCCCCAGGCCTGGCTATTAGAATTCTATTCCAAGCATCAAATATCTTTTTTTTTTTAATTTTTTTTATTTTTGGTACCAAGGATTGAACTCAGGGGCACTTAACCATGGAGCCACATCCTTAGCCCTATTTATTTTCTATTTAGAGAAGGGTCTCACTGAGTTGCTTAGGGCCTCTATGAATTGCTGAGGTTGGCCTCAAACTTTTGATCCTCCTGCCTCAGTCTCCCAAGCCACTGGGATTACAGGTGGGGCCCCTAAACCTGTAGAATCAAATATCTTAACTCACAACATTACCTCATGTTATGAGGTAGGAGGCAGGTAGTAGAAGACAGGTGGCCGACATGAATAGTTCATCAGATGAGAATGGAAAGGAATGGAAGAGAAGTGGATTGTGAATTTCAGTCAGTAGTTATTATTCAACTCATACCCTACCCCAGACACAGTGATGGTGGATGCAGATAGGATCACTGCCCACAAGAACAGAACTCCAATATTTAGGGTTGGGGAAGGCTGTGAGGGGATGGAAAGGGTGTTAGGGTATGGATGGAAAGGTAGAAAGGGAGAAGTAGGTAGAGGAGAAGATATATAAATTACACACAGGTAAATACCTAAGCCTGCTTTGAAAACCACACTGCAGGTATCTGGCATGTCCTCTGCAGGTGTGTGGCATGTCATCTGACTCACCCAGTATCTCCATCCAACATCATGGAAGGCAGACAGGAGGGATCCCTCTCCCTCCTAAGTACCACGCCACCGCCTGTATGGGATCCCTGTGGCACTTATTCCAAACTGCATTCGTTATTGAGTTTGGCCATGTGCTGATTAGCTTTCACCTGCAGCTCATGGGGACACAGTCCTTCTCAAGAGATGGCAGCCACTTCACCGAACCACACCCTCTTTAATGGCATCTACCCGCTTAGCCACCCGACCCATGCTGACAAACACAGCTGTAGGGGAATTATGAAGCCAGGGACTGTTTACCTTTTCTCCCCAACACACCACTGCTACATGGTTTTGATGGAGACCAAACAAGGGAACCTCAACAAGACACCAGGAAGGGCAGCTGTGTTTCCAAGCATCACACAAGGTTTGAATAATGCAGAGTTTACATTAAATACCTCCCAGGACTAACAAGGTGCAGAATAAACTGTCTACTGATAAGGCCTGGGCCTTGGGATAGGGGTGAGTTCTTTTCAGCAGCTTGTGACTTACACTGGCAGAGAAAGCAGTCACAGCTACCACCCTTGGGGGGCCTGCTCTCAATTATCTCTCTAAGGAACAGGTACATCCGGGCATCTGAAGCTACTCAGACCATCCAGAAACCGGCCAAGTTTTTGGCTCCACCAGAAGGCTGACTCTTGGTTTTCGATATGCAAACACTAAGGATGTTTGTTTTCATCTTCTTTACCGGGAAGATAAATGTCGTTTACTTTTCAAGAGAATGGTTTGGAGCCAAAGATTTTCCTTCACTTACAAATAGAAACTAGAGAGTGGAACTGAGAGTGTATAAACTTGGGTTCCCACTGTCGGGAAGCAGACCTTAAAGCCATCTGCTAATGTCATCAGGAATCCAAGGGGATCCCCAGGTTTTAATGTAGGAGCTGCGCTGGATCTCCAGAGGCTGGCCGCATTTACCTGAGGCTCAGTCACCTCCTCAGATTATTTCTTGATTTTTTTGGAGGGGGTCCTGGGGTATGAACTCTGGGGGCACTCAGCCACGGAGCCCCATCCCCAGCCCTATTTTGTATTTTATTTAGAGACAGAGTTTCTCTGAGTTACTTATCACCTGCTTTTGCTGAGGCTAGCTTTGAACTCACAATCCTCCTGCCTCAGCCTCCTTGAGCTGCTGGTATTTTAGGCATGTGCCACTGCACCCAGCCTCCCCAGATTATTATTGTACCCAGAAAAGGGCATTTTTCATCTCTCTCTCTCTCTCTCTCTCTCTCTCTCTCTCTCTCTCTCTATATATATATATATATATATATATATACACTTACATTTGTTCTAATTAGTTATACGTGACAGCAGGAAGGGCATTTTGTTGCAGTCTTCCTTGACCTTTATCCTCCGCACTTGAGTGAATTATTAATTAATGTAGACCCTGCTAAAATACCATTCAGTATAACTCTCACTTCTCCTGGTCTTTTTTCCTTTTTGATTTAGCAAAAGTTTCTAGAAATGATAGCTGGTCTCTTGGACTACCCTGGTGACATTTACATACAACTGAAAATTGCTACCAAGCCCTTCTCTTATTTTTATTTATTTATTTTTTTTTGCTGGTGAATTGCTAGAAAATTCTGGAATAGGTTATTTTGGCTTGGCCCCAGCTACGCGTGAAATGCCAGACCCAGCAGGACTGCAGTGGTTCATTCTTCTTTGAGGACAGGAGAGCAGCAGAAGTTGTAGGAGGGTTTAGAAGTGGATGGGGTGGGGCTGGGCACATGGAAGGCCTCCACAAAGCACACACAACAGGTGGGTTATTTGCTATGTTTGCCTCCAGCAAATTACCACTGAGGTGAGATGACAAAGACAGAATGGCTTTGACTTTCAAATTCAGTGAACTTGGAGCATCTGATCATATTGTTAAATCAGTCAGGAAATAGAAAACTGCCTGTCCAGAGTCAAGATCATCAAAGAGGAAAAATTGGGATGAAGATGATATCAAAACTGTATTAAACTGTATTCAAGTGGGCACAGTCTTGCTCCTCTGTAATCCCAGTGGCTCGGGAGGTTGAAGCAGGAGGATCATGAGTTTGAAGCCAGCCTTGGCAACTCAGTGAGATTGTAAGCAACCCAGTGAATCCCTGTCTCAAAATTTAGAAAAAGGCAGGCTGGGGATGTGGCTCAGTGGTTTAGGGCCCCTGGTTCAATCCCTGGTACAAACAAACAAACAAACAAAAAGGAAACCAAACCCCAAACTATATTCAAAATGCACAGAGAAACTTTAAGTAAAATTCACATGTGCATGTACATGTGTGTTTATGAATTCTTTTTTTTTGGTACCAAGGATTAAACTCAGGGGCACTCAACCACTGAGCCACATCCCCAGCCCTATTTTGTATTTTATTTTGAGACAGGATCTCACTGAGTTGCTTAGGGTCTCACTAAGTTGCTGAGGCTGGCTTTGAACTCACGATCCTCCTGCCTCAGCCTCCCGAGCCACTGGGATTACAGACATCGCCATCGTATCCAGCCTATTATGAATACTTTTTAAGGACTAGGTTCAAGGGGCTGGGGATGTGGCTCTAGCGGTAGCGCGCTCGCCTGGCATGCGTGCGGCCCGGGTTCGATCCTCAGCACCACATACAAACAAAGATGTTGTGTCCGCCAAAAACTAAAAAATAAATATTAAAAAATTCCCTCTCTCTCTCTCTCTCTTAAAAAAAAAAAGAACTAGGTTCAAGTCTTTGTTCTGCTACCATCCTGCCATGTGGCCTTGAGGGACTTGTATCATCTCTCTTAACTTGCATTTCCTTATCTGTAACACTGCCAACATCATAGGATTGTCAGAGGCTGCAACTAAATAGAGCATGTCCTATGCCTGGTACATAGTGTGGGCCCACCTGTAGCTTTCAAAATCATGGACAACCTTTTACTACAGTGAGTACAAACAGGTTCTGTTTCTACTGTCATCGCAGAAATGACTTGTGGCTGTCTGGGGTGCTATGTTAAGAAAGACCTGTGGCTGGGCTTGGTGGAAAAGATTTACCTGATCCATTTTTGACGTCTGCTACTGACAGACTGGGGAGGGGGTATATTTGCCATACTGAGTTCAATGGAAAGGTCACAAAGGGTCAGAGACAGTCACCATGAGCTGGATAACATAGGAACATCTTTTTTCCCTTCTTTTTCCTTATTTTTCCCAATGAGAAATGAATGAGCAAAAAGAAAAATTTTCTTTTTTTTTGTACTGGGGATTGAACCCAGGGGTGCTTAACCACTGAGCCACATCCCAGCCCTTTATATTTTTTTATTTAGAGACAGGGTCTTGCTGAGTTTCTTAGGGCCTCGCTGTTAATGAGTCTGGCTTTACTTTACACTTGTGATCCTCCTGCCTCAGCCTCCCGAGACCCTGGTATTATAGGAATGTGCCACTGTGACCACCTGAGCAAAAATTTTTGATTGCTGTGGTCTCTCCGAATCGGAAACTCCTGATTCTAATCTAAGTGCTGCACACTGTATTATTGGCTTGAAATGTTAATGCATTTCCGTAGGATTATAAAGTTAATTTTTCTGTGTAACCTTGTTCTATGGCCCTGTTTTCAGGAACGTCCACCATCCCATCAGCAAAAGAGTGTGTAAGCAAGAAAATGAAGCTGTGTTTAAGGAGTCCTCCTCATCTGCTGTGTGCTCTTATCCAGTCAAAAACCTCTCTGGGCTTTTTCTATCACCTGGAAAATGGAAGAAAGATTATTTCTGTCCTCTCCTGACTCTGAGATATGGACCAAGTGAATGAGTTCATGTTTCCACCACGCTTTGAAGTTGTCAGAAGACAGATTATGTGACTCTGAAGTCTTGGGTCTTCCCATGAAAATGTGGCTCAGAAATTCCTCCCTGGATATGACCCACTTAATATCTATCTGATGGCCTACAGCTTTGCTATAACACAGCCATGGCTGCAGAAGGAAAAAGAGATTAAAAAAAAAATCCAGAACTGATCATTTTCTTTCAAAGTTGAGTTTCCTTAAGTGTAAATTATATGGCTTCTGTGAAGGTTAAAAGTATCATCAAAGCTGAAAGAAGGTTGGTTGAAATAGTCCACTTGGCAAAAATGGCTTCCACAGGACAACAACTAGAGCTGCTTTCAAAGAGACTTAAAGCCACCTTGTTGGGAAAGGAGCAAATGGCTCCGTGGGGTTGAAATATCTTGGCTCCTTAATAGTGGTGAAAGTTGATCCCAGTGCCAGATTCTGTTCCAGTGGATAAAGTCTGAACTTGAAAGATGTCACAGAATTCCCCAAAGCTAACATTCCTAAGAAAGACTGCATTGTCAGCAGGGGAAAAGTGACCCCTGTTCTCACCTTGGTTATACCTCTGGGACAGAAAGACCCAAGCCAAGGTAGGTAAACAGAATAACTTTTGCTTCTTCCTGAGCACCTCAGGGACCTAAAGCAAGGACTACCCGTAGGTTCTAGGCAGCAACAAAGAATCATAGATACTGCAACAGGATTTTATTTTCATTTTTTGGTACTAGGGATTGAACCCAGGGGTACTTAACCACTGAGCCCCATCCCCAGCCCTTTTTGTATTTTATTTAGAGACAGGGTCTCACTGAGTTGCTTAGGGCCTGGCCAAGTTGCTGAGGCTGGCTTTGAACTCGCAATCCTCCTGTCTCAGCCTCCTGAGCCTCTGGGATTACAGGCGTGAACCGCCTGTTAGAACAGAACTCTCTCTCAGTTTCAATCGAGGTGTGTTGATATAACAGATTCAAAACAGTAAGGCAAACCCGCCAACAGTCAGCCCTCTATCCCTGTGGGTTCCTCATCTGCCTGGTCAACCAACTGCTGATGAAAAATATTTGCAAGAAGAAGTTTGCCCCTTTGCTGAACAAAAGTATGCACTTTTGTCATAACTCTCTAAAAGACAGAGTATATCAACTTTTTCCACAGCATTTACATCATCTGAGGTATTATAAGTCATACAGAGATGACTAGAAATGTATGGGAGAGTGGGTCCAGGTTATATGCCAATACTAAGTCCCTTTTAAAGGACTTGCACATCTGGTGCAAGACATTTTGGTGTCTGCGAGTGTCCTGGACTCAATCCTGTGTGGACACTGAGGGATGATGTGTACAATCAATCAATCGATCCAACTCTTTATTTATTGATTTAGTGATGCCGGGGATCGAACCCAGGGCCTCGTGCATGCTAGGCAAGCGCTCTACCACTGAGCCACATTCCCAGCCCTGACCCATTTCTCTTGACAGATCATCTTTTATACCCAGCCCATGTCCAGTCCCATCTCCCCATGTCCCTCCTTTAAGGGTACCCAAAGAGGCCAAATTACCATGTGGAATTATACAACCAGAGCAGTAGAGTGGTCTCACGTGTGACCCCCCTCATTTTCCTTTTGGAGGGAAGGGTGGGGACGTATTGCCTGATGCAGCATCTGGATATGATCCTCTTAATATCTATCTGATGGCCTACAGCTTTGCTATAACACAGCCATGGTTGCAGAAGGAAAAAGAGATTTAAAAAATAACTTTCTGAGTTTGTTCTGTGAGCTCAGAATGGTTTTTGCATTTTTTAATGGCTAGAGTAGGGGGTGTGGGGAATTGAAAAACATTTCAGGCATGAAAATCAACTCGGATTCAGATTACAGTGGCTACAAACAATGCTGTTGGGTACAGTCACACCCCTTTATTCACATAGTGTGTCTGCTGCTTTGGCATTACAGTCGAGTAGTGGAGACTTTCTAATTCACAAAGCCTGAAATATCTATTGTTGTCATATTTACAAAACTTTGCTGACCCTGGTCTAGTCACAGTCTGGTGAAAAGGGGTTTCAAGGGGTCCTTGGAGAAATGTGAAGTGTGTTCCCTGTGATTTAGATGTTCCCTTAGATGACTGGTGTCGGACTTGGGCTTGAAAATGGCTAAGGGGTCCATGGTTCAGGGTCCTCCTCTTTGCAGGGAATCTGAAGGCCAGAGAGAGAGGTTGACCAGTACTCTGGCATGAATACTGGCCAAGCTGCATTTCCAGAATATGTGGGGGTTATGGATGCATGGGTTATCCCAAGGACCAGATCTGGGATAGGAGGGGGTGGGAGGGAGGGAGAGAGGGAGGTAGGGAGAGATGGAGGGGAAGTGAAGGAGGGAGGCAGGGAGGGGGAGAGACAGGGAGAGAGGGAGGAAGGGGGGGGAAGCCTACAGCATATGTCTCACCCAAAGGTGAAAGATGGAGAAAGGAGCCAATATGGCAGCCATTGGTTACATGAGTATTTGAAATGTGTCTCGTCTGAATTGAGGTGTGCTATGTGTTAAATAGACATTAGATTCCAAAGAATTACAGATAAAGAAAATGAACATGAGAGACGAGAGGCAGAGAGAGAGAAAGAAGAAGAAGGAAGAGAGGGGAGGAGAAGGGGGAAAGGAGAAGAGAGGAGAAAGTGTGGGCTCTTCTTGGTTGGGAGGGGACCTCAGTAGTAAGAGGTCGGGATACTCCACTAGGGCCTAGAACTTAGGACAGGGACACAGGGGGCCACCTGGCATAGATGCCTTGCTTTTGTCCCAGCAAAGTCAAACCTTTCTATCCTGCTATGAGAGAACAGTTAACAGGAGAAGGTGAGAGGGAAGGTGACCGTGACAAGAGACAGCCATCCTATCCGCTCTCTTCAGCTTTACACAATTACCTTTCCCAGATTCAAGTTTATAAAGATGGTGAAACCAGAAACAGGCATGTGTTTTATTAATGTCAGGAGCTGTGTTCACCCCATGTACCACTATGGTTTGAGCAACCCACCATGCCAGAGTGCGTCCATATTCTCATTTATGAGTTCTTGCAATTCTCTGATATTGGTATGGATACACCTGTTTTGTAGGTAACGAAGCTGTGGTTCAGGGGGTTTAGGGGACATGCTGAAGATCTCACATGAGCAAGCGTGAGAGCTAGGATTTAGTTTCCTGGATTCCCAAATGCATACTCTTCCCACTGTACCCTGGAGGACTTTCACCTTGGGAGTGGCATTTTGGTGCAGTATTTGTGTCGAGAACCCTTTCCCTTTGTTATGGTAGTATGCACCAAACCCTATTATTGTCAAGGAACAAGCATTTGCAGGTCATCTTAGGAAACAAGTATTGTTAGCAAAGATACACACTTTTCTAAGTCACCAAATGGTGAATTCCAACTCTGATGTGGCAGTTTCAAAATCGGAAGTTCTTGACCTCGGATTGCAGTATTGCCTCACATCCGGAAGCAGTTTATGGCGTGGAGTAGCTTAGAGTCATCTGAACCATTTCATACATGTTGTGTCAGTTGGCTGCATTCTTACAACAGCCTGGGGGGCAGGTAAGGAAATTACCATCCTTATTTTTCAGGTGAGTAAACACAGGCTCAGATGCTCAAAAAGTAGCACTCAGTGAACATGTATTGGGTGAATGACTGTACCCACTCCATGATGTGGAGACCTAGTCATTGGTCCATGATCATCCATTTTCTGACTTGGTTACCAGCCTTGGAGCCCCCATCTCTGTATACTGTATTGTCCAGCATAACTTCCAATCCATTAATCACCTTGGGTATAGTGGATTCAAAGTAGGCATTCACAGTGGTCTCTCATTATGCTCTAACAGAAGAGTCATGTTCTAAGCAAATCTTTTATAATAAGTAGCATGTTGAACTGACTCAGAGTGCCTGAGGTTTTCTTTCTTTCTTTCTTTTTTAAATTTAGAGGCAGATTTGGAATTAAAAATACCTTGATCAGAATCCTCTTGCTAACCAGCCACAGTGGCCCATGCCTGTAGTCCCAGTGGCCCGAGAAGCTGAGGCAGGAGGATCGCAAGTTCAAAGCCAGCCTCAGCAATTTAGTGAGGACCTAAGCAACTTAGGAAGACATGTCTTTAAATAAAAAATAAAAAAGATTGGAGATGTGGCTCAGTGGTTGAGTGTCCCTGGGTTCAATCTCTGGTATCTTCCTACCAAAACAAACAAAAAAATCCTATTGTTTCCTCCTAATTCAGTATGTTTCCATGAAGGCAGCAGGCATGGTGTCTAGTTCTACTCTGGCATTTATTGGCCATCCAACTTTGCACAAGGTATTGTCTCCGTTGTAAAGTGGCCTAATGATACTACTGCGTAACATTGAGCAGAAATACGAATTTAAATATATCTACACACCATGCCTGGTCTACAGCAGGTACTAGAGAAATGGTAACCATTTTTATTTAAGGTGACAGTTTTAGTCATCTTTTTTGTTGCTATGACTAAAAGACCTGACAAGAACAATTGAGAGGAGGACAAGTTTATCTTGGCTCATGGTTTCAGAGGTTCACTCCATGGTCAGCCACCTCCATAGCTCTGGGCCTAAGGTGAGGCAGAACATCATGGCGGAAGGGTGTGGGAGGTATATGGGGACATGACAACTAGGAAGCAGAAAGACAGACAGCTTAGTTCACTAGAGACAAAATATAAACCCCAAAGTGACCCCCCTGACTACTTACTCTAGCCACACCCTACCTGACTCCAGTTACCAGCTATTGATCCAGATCAGTGGATTAATCCACTGATTAGTTAAAGCTCTCATAACACAATAATTTCTCCTCTAAATATTCTTGCGTTGTTTCACACATGAGCTTTTGGGGGACCCTTGGTATCTAAACCATAATAGTGACTAACAGATTGATTTCTTGAGGTTCACTATGCTCTCTTCCGATGACAGAGGGTAACTGTGACTTCATAGGAAAGGAACTGGGTTAGGCTGTTTTGTCCAGACAACAGGAAGCAAACTCGGAGAGTCTATAGACCAGCTCTCCCCAGACCTCTGAGAACCATCTCGGGGGTATTGCTGAGCACAAGAGTCCAAGTCAGTGAAAATCCTGGGGGCATGAGGAAGCCATATTTTGAATTCTATCTTGTTCTATCCTGGAATTGGTAGGTTCTGTTTAAAAGTTCCAATCCTGACTTTCCTACGGGTTCCTTCTTTAAATGTCAGGCACATTAAACTAAAAGAATAATCTTTCATTTATTCAGTCCAAATTCAGCCCTTTTTGCTATTGTTGTTTGGAAGCAGCAATTAATTTTGAAGGATGAAAGGATTGTGTGGTTAGAAAAGACGATTGGGGAAAACAGTGTTTTTCAAGAGTATCTGTACACATTTGCTCTTGAATAAACTGAACTCACTAAATAAATTAGATCCCACGAAAGCATAATTTTCTAATTCATCAACTAATTAATCACGGATGCAATGACTGAGCCCGAATGATTTTTTTTTACCACATAGATATAAATTGTTATTGTGCGAGTGAAAAACAATTTATTTTTAAAATAATGGATGAACAGTCTCCCTTGGAAATGCCTCTAAGATCTTTTCCCTGAAGAAATAAGATTCTGCTTTGATTCAAAA